GGATGGCATTGAAGAAATAATCCTCTCCATGAGCCTTGGCTGTGAGCAGCGACAGCAAATCAAGGAACTGTGCACCAGCTTTGTGCCATTGTTTTCAGCCACCCCAGGATGAACTGAATGGGAGTACCACTCTATTAACACAGGTGAAGCTCACCCACACAAAGCCCAACCATACTGGATACCTTCTTCAGCCAAAACCAGTAGAAAGGAGATCAAGTTTGATAGAGATGGGTTGTAATCTGCCCCTCTCAGAGTGCCTGGACCTCTCCATTGGTTCTAATTCCCAAACCAGATGGGGAAATCTGATTTTATATGGACTACCATAAGCTAAATGCTGTAACTCACCTAGAAAACTATCCAATGCCACACACAGATGAGCTATTGGAGAAACTGGGAGACACTCAGTTCATCTCCACCCTAGACTTAACCAAGGGATACTGGCAAGTACCTCTGAATAAATCAGCCATGCCAAGGTCAGTCTTCATTACATATGTGGGGCTATATAAATTTAATGTTCTCCCAGCCCTCTCTCACTGCAGCAGCTTGGGGTGAGGGGAAAAACACTTCTCCATGGCTGCCTCAGCTGCAGTGGGCACAGCTGGGGGAGGGGTGCATGTCCCCTGGCTGGGGCAAGTCCAGGTTCATCTAGCCTCAGGTAGAGTGAGGAATTCAGCAAACTGTGCGCTTTTCTCTTGATCCCTGATGAAGGGGAATAGCCAGTAATGTTTCCATATGAATGGAGAGGTAAGCTTCAGGCCCACCCTCCGTCTTCCTTAAAAGGGCAAAGAGTGGGAGGCTTTGGAGTCCCAGACAAGCCTCTTTCACCTGCCTCGTGTTTCTGTCTCTTTTCTGTATGGTTTTATGACAAGCAATTCCATGCCAGGCACATCCCATTTTCCCGGAACAACCAAACCCTGACTTTGCTTCAAGTTATAAGAGGAAGCTTAGTACCAGATTTGGTGGTATGGCTCTTACCATTTAGCAGGAGTACCTGAACAGAAAAACAGATAGTACATGTCACATGAAAACAAAAGATGTTCACATGGCACTTTTGTAGCTAGCATTGCAAGGTATTTATATGCCAGATGTGCTAAACATTCATATGCCCCTTTGGCCACCATTCCAGAGGACATGCTTCTCTGACAATGTTACTCATTAAAAAAAACATATTAATTAGATTTGTGACTGACCCCCTTAGGGTTCTCTGAAGAGGGCTATTACATTTCATTTTTATGGTTAGATTATGCCGGTTAGGCGAAGCACTGCACTGAAGGTGGCGCATTAACACACTACTCCAGGAAGTGCCTTCCACAGCTCCCCAGGGCTCCTCATCTGTTGCTGCACCTCTTTAATGCATACAGTTTACACTTTCGGTCCCACCCCCTCTCTGTCCCATGTGCCTGGCTTCACAGGAGGTGGATAGGATGGTGTAGTGAATTTCTCTTTGTTTACAATCATTGCTGATACATGAAGTAATTTAAATAAATGTTTAAAAATATTTATATAAAAGCATTATTAGTATTGGAAATATGTGTACAAAATTACATTTATCTTTCATAGTTGATGCCCCTGGTTTTGAACCCATTTTCACCAGGTCTGATTTTGGTCCAAAGCATTTAATAAAATTTTTATTCAACCAATTTTGTAAATGATGATAGTAATGAAACTGAGCAAATACATCAAGCTAAAAGAGGAAAGGACATTTATTTTCTTCTTGCTGTCATATGCCAATGATACAAACGTGAGGCATGTGTTTATATCTGATGAAACAAGCCTATCCAATTTCTTGCATTATTTAGGTTAGGTCATTTCTTCAAGCATATACTGTATGACAGATTGTGTGTGGAAACCAACATTTAGTTTATGACCAAAATGGCCAGCAATTGCATGGATTGCGAAATTACCTTCAGCACTGGAGGGGGAGTGATGGGAAATGTTGCTTCTTTAAAAAGACAAAGTCAAAACAAAACAAAAAATATTACTAACAATTTCAGGTAGTCACTGCTTCCGAATCCAAGACTGATTTCCTGATATCATTTGGGATGTGTGAAAATGCATCAGTTGCTAGACAGTTTCAGAATCTGGGTTATGAAATGCATGTAATTGATATCTTTCCCAGGAAATCTGCTTGGGAAGGGACCTATTCTGGTTTAGGATTTAAATGTAGATATTAGAGCAGGGCTACTCAACTATGGAAGCCCTAGGGGCCACAATGATACTCTCAGCACATGCTAAGGGCCGCAACTTAAGCGTGGTTGCATATACGTGCAAATACATATGCAAATACATGCAAATAGTTTTTACACTGATGGGCATGAATATGAAGATTAAGCCTTGAACCACAGTGCTGGACCCAAATGTGGCCAGTGTGAGCCAGTCAGCACCACTCAGGCTTTGCCCTCAAAGCTAAGCAGCCAGTACTTCCCACAATGCCCCGGCACTCCCCGCTGGCACCTCCTCCCTGGGGGTTAGAAACACTAACACTCTATACCCGTCTGTTCCAGCCAGCCCATCCGCTTGCATCCTCAACCTCTCTCTCATAGACCACTGAAAGTAGAGTCCTTGCTTAGCAAGGTTCTTTCTGCTGCGAGCCTTTTCCTTTGGAACAATTTAGCACAGTCATATTTTTCTGTAGCCCCACAAAATTGCAAACATTGTTAACCATATTCTAGCTATTCCTATATTTAATACAAACATGGCTAGTCACAAATTGAGTACGAGCAAAACACCATTCCATATGTTGAATAGCTATAACACTTTTAATCAAAGCAGGAGCAAAGTATATTTCCACTGGAACACCCAGGGTCTCTCCCCTTTCCCAGATAGCTGTAATGGAAGCATTTTTTTCAGGTTCTGCTTACATGCCTTTTAAAGCTCCTTAGACAAAATGGGGCAAACATGAGTTAGTGTCTCCTGTGCACATAGCACAGTTTTCATATAACAGGGTGGGGAACCTAAGACCTAGGGGCCAGATGCGTCCCCGGCTTACCTGGATCTGGCTCCTGAGACTCCGGGTTCCCACTCCCCAGCATTGGGGAGCCTGCGCACACTCTAGCCACCCCGTTGTCCCCCACATGGGGATGGAGCACACAAACTCTACTAGCATGGGCCCCATAGGCACTGGTGTGCGAGGGGAATGTGGGGAACGTCTTTGCTCCCAGGCCAGTGAGCGTTGTTTTTGTTACTTTTGCTTTTGACTCGCGTGCGCTCCCAAGGGATTTTTCTGTGGGTCAGTGGCTCCCAACCCAAAGAAGTTTCCCCCTCCCTGTTCTATGGCTTGGCTGGGTTTTGCTGAGCGCTAGGGTCAAGGTCGCTGAGTTCAGTCGTGCCAAGAAAGCGAGGACAAGCGGGAGGGATCAGCCCTGAGTCGCTTGTAGAGGCTGAAAACGCGGGTCACAAAGGCGGGTCTCCCCC